CTTCCATCCCAGACTCAGGTATTTAGCACTGCTGACAGCACTTAGTCATGGCCACTCCCCACCCCAGCCAAGTCCTTATTTTAAAATATTTTATTTATTATTTTTATTTTATGTGGAGTGAACTGCATGTATGTGTGTTAAGTGCACCCATGTTGTGAAATACCTGTGGAAGTCAGAATACGGTATCAGATCCCCCAGAACTGGAGTTTCAGATGGTTGTTAGCCACCATGAGGGTGTTAGGAATTAAAATCTGGGTCTTCTGCAAGAGCAGTCAGTGTTCTTAACCACTGAGCCACCTTTCCAGCTCCAAGCTCCTATTTTTAAAATTCCCTTAATCTTCCTAGTAAAGAAGGCGTCTGGACCTCCCTGCTCCCGAGTGGTTCTAACACATTTGTCACTCCCAAGATCCATGGGAGTACTTCAGATAGGGCAGGCAAAGGCCACATCCATGGGAGTACTTCAGACAGGACAGGCAAAGGCCACATCCATGGGAGTACCTCAGACAGGGCAGGCAAAGGCCACATCCATGGGAGTACTTCAGACAGGACAGGCAAAGGCCACATCCATGGGAGTACCTCAGACAGGGCAGGCAAAGGCCACATCCATGGGAGTACTTCAGATAGGGCAGGCAAAGGCCCCATCCATGGGAGTACCTCAGACAGGGCAGGCAAAGGCCACATCCATGGGAGTACTTCAGATAGGGCAGGCAAAGGCCCCATCCATGGGAGTACCTCAGACAGGGCAGGCAAAGGCCCCATCCATGGGAGTACTTCAGACAGGGCAGGCAAAGGCCACATTGGGACAGTTTTGGAAGTCTGCCTTTTGGTAGTTCTCACAGAAGGCATTAGTACAACATAGACCCATGAACAGCTGACAGTACAAGTAGCAATGAACAGAGATGCTTTTAAAGAAATTCCTTAAATCTCTTTTCTTTCTTTTTTCTTCTAAACTGGAATACTTTTTAGGAATTAAAGAGAAAACTAGTAATAACTCTGCCCAGAAGCAGAAATACGAACAGGACCATCCCAGGGAAACAGGACGTGCGGCCACCCTGTGCCTGCTGCTTCTTTGGACTCCATACGAGCTTTCATGCCACCCGTTGCTCTTGAGCTGCATTTTCCCTCCCACAGAGATGCTCATGTGCACATTCCTGACTCGCTGTTTTATTAGTCAGAGCCCAGACACTGAAAAGCAGCCTCAGTCCTGATTGCACAAACACAGCTCTGTGTTCATCCATCCTCAGGAGGCACCAGAGCATAGTGAGTACCAGCAAGGCAGAAGGCAATCACAGTCTGGATGGGATCTTCCCAACTTCATCTTCCTTCTCATTCTGAGTCAACTAACAGAAAGTCAACAAACTGAAAGAAGATCCGCTGCTCCAGGTTGATTTGGATCAAGCTCAATATGACATTATAAAAATAGCAACTATGGGGCCGAAGAGATGGCTCAGTGGTTAAGAGCACTGACTGCTCTTGCAGAGGACCCAGGTTCGATTCCCAGGACCCACATGGCGGCTATGAACCGTCCTTAACTCCAGTTCCAAGGGAATCCGAAGCCCTCTTCTGACCTCTGTGGCACTGCACGACACAGGTGTACTCACATACATGTAGGCAATACACGTATACATGTAAAATAAAAATAATAAATAAAATATTTTTTAAAATAGCAGATATAGCAGATACAGGGTAACCAAGAGCTTAGTACATTTTTCACCAACATTTAGCCTTTCATTCTGGCTAATTGTAACAAATTTATTATCATAATATGAGAAACCATTAAGTCTCTAAAAAGGACTGTAAAATGTTAAGTTTTACTATTGCTACAGAAATAATTTGAATATTTTATAACTTAAGTTCAGATGGAATTAAAAAAAGCAAATCAATAAACTTTGGAGTGTCATGCAATGACAACTATTTCAATTGTACATCAGACAAAAGCAATTTCACAATTTAAAACTTTGCATTTTGTCTGTGGTTTCCACAATACAAATAAATTCAGATACAAGAGATACATAATAAATGTTAACAGTCTAGAAGTCCAAAAGAGGAATGGGCAGTGTCTCCCAATTGGCTAGTTCCTCCAATGGGTGGGGCCTGCCGCGGAGTGTGGACTTATGGGGGTGTGGCTGAGAGCCATCTTGGAACTGAAGTCCTGAGCCCAGCTGGAGAAGCTGCAAGAGGAGAACCATGGGGAAGCCCGCGAGCCAAGGGAACATTGTGCGCAACAGCTGACAGACAGAATGGACTGACTTTTAATGGACCCAGCGATTGTTGGCCCCAGAGGCGTGAGCGAATTATGGGCGTTGCACAGTCTGATAAGGCGGGCTCTTAGTAGCGGCGGTGCGGGGCTAGGCACTGGGTACTCTTTCCTTTGTAAATTAATAAATACACATAAAATATTTTATATGGTTTGTCTGATCGCGCAGGAGGCCCAGAGAGAATTCGGGCCCCAGGCAGGGAACAAGGAATACTGAGCAATTTCTGTGCCAAATAAAGTCATTTGTGCTATAAAGGTCCCTGGTGTCCTTGAGGAGTGCTAAAGAGACCCTGAGAACCCAGGCAGGAGTATGACCCACACTGGGCCTCTGAACTTCATCAGTCCAGGATGTCCTGTTGTCACACAGGGACTCCCTCTTCACTCTGAGTCCCTATTAAAAGTTGTTTTTAAAGTGTCACTCTCTGGCTGCCATAAAAAGCAGTGGCATCTACAGGTAAATCATATCAGGTGTTGATCAGTGAAGTAGGGCTGTGACTTTATTTGTAGTTTAAACTTAAGAAGCATTTATAAATATCAACTATGCCTTTGGGTTGCTCATAAAACTTATGAGACAAGAACTAACTGGGCTTGGAAAAGTACCTCAAACTTTTCCATTTTTATCCTATTCTATTTTCTATATCCCAGTGTCGCTTCTGGTGTTGATTTGGCCCCATTTCTTACATTTTAGGGAACTGGATATCTCCTTGAGGACAGAGGCTATTATTCATGGTGGCTTCTGGGGGCCCCTCAGACACCAGCATAGTGTGCATCTAGTGGTCTATCAGATACACTTGACCCTGGCCTTCCTACTTTCTGAATGTGGATGACACTCTGCAGCTTGTTTCCAGTAGGCAGTGCTCAGCCCCTTGTAACTCCATAAAGTCTCAGCTGAAATGGCAGGGGAGGATAAGTGCCAGCTACAAGTGACTACTGTGATGGCTAGTCTTCCTTGTCAACCTGGTGAGATTTAGAATCACCATGGAAACACACTGACCACTGGGTGTGTCTATGAGGAAGTTTAATAGGGGAAGGAAGAACCACCCTGAATGTGGGCGCACCATCTCATAGGCTGGGTCCGGTAATGGATGAAAAGGAAGCCAGCTGAGCACCAGCACTCCCCTCTTTGCTTCCCGGCAGATTCAATGTGATCAGCTGCCTCAAGATCCCAGTGCCATGGCTCCCTGCCATGATCGACTGTATCCTCGAATTGTAAGCCAAAATAAACCCTTAGCTCCTCCTTACCTTGCTCTTATCATATATTTGCACAGCAATGAGCAAAATAACTAATGCAGCTACTCCCTAAGAACCTAGGAAATCATTTTTCCAAAATCATTTTTCTTAAGGCAGTAAACTGGTAAGTTGCTTAAAACACTGCACCCTTTCTGCCTTGTACTTTAGACTTACTCAGCCAAAGACTAAAGAAGCATTTTCCAAAACATGTTCTTCAGACCTTTTGTTTTGGAAATAGCTGCCCACTGGTTAAATCAATATGTGAAACACGAACATATTCAATAATCACCACCTCTCAGAAACCACTGTGTCAGCACCTAAGAGTCCTGTGAAATCCTACATTAATGACATCTGAGCAATTTTGTTCAGACCAGCATTTCCTCAATTTCTCCATGGACTCTTTTCCCCATGAGATAATTATTAACGTCCTGAGAAATCAAGTTTCCTCAGAACTTATTGTGAGAAGTGCTGGTCCAAAGTGTTTATACTTCCTTTGAATCACCTACTCCTTTACATTACAGCTTTCACGTCAACTTACAAAACAGTAAAAAATGTTTGGCTAAGATGTATGCCAATCCTGTTTTCTCCTTGAGCACAGCAAGCTGCATCAGGGGAGGCCTCATTTCCTGTGGCCTTAGCTGGTGCTTTCAGAGTGGAGGAGGGAGGCCGGTAGCTTATCTATCCCTGAGTACCCTCAATAGTAAAAGATGACAGCTGTCCTGCCTGAGAGTAAAATGTCCAGCCCTGCCCTTAACTCTGCCAGGCTGAAGAGTTACTGCTGGTACACATGGCAAGTGCTTACAGCCTCACTTCTATTAGGAGTGCTGCTCACCCATTAAATTCTCCCTACGAGGGTTGGTGAGATGGCTAAGAAGTTAAAAGTGCTTGCCGGCCAGACTCCATAGTAAGAGAGAAACAATTCCTGAAAATTGTCTTCTCCCCTCTGCACGCATGCTGCCCCACCCCCAAACACACATACAAATGCTCCAATGAATTATAAAGGCACAATAAAAGCAGGATGCCATTAAGAAAACACAAGATTTATCTTAAGGGCAAAAGTATTCTAAGTATCCTGAGGCTAACTCATTAGCATTAAGCTGATTATAAATGCGGAAGGGAACCACCACACAGCACATGGCAGTGTCCTGTGATGGATACGCCTATCCAATGGTATTTCAAAGACATCAAATTTCTCACCTTCACTGGGTTGAGAAGTGGAAACAAAATAAATTATGGCTAATTCCAAGAGGCTAAACATTTCTTGACCACATGAGCGGAAGATCTTTAGAAGTCAATTCAGATTCAGTTCTTGGTGAGAATGTTTAACACAAGTGAGGAACATGTCTCTGAATCCTTCAGCAAGGTCAGAGAAATCACTTTTCCAATGTAAGTAAGTAAAGGAAGCATGAGACAGGAAAGCACAGGGTATTGAGAGCTGCCATTGAGTGTACCTGGTATGGGGTCCTAAGATACCTTTCTAACCAGGCAGCACAATGGCCCAAAGAGGACTCACCATGTCATAAGTCGTTACTATCTTCTTCAGAACCTCAGGCACGATTGCCTGCAGCTCCATGGTGGGGTAGGGCTCGCTGAGATTCAGAACCACCAGGGGGGTGTTGTCAGGCCCCAGGAAGCGGGGAGACACTGCCAGCATGCACTGCATGAGGTTGGCCACGGAGGAGAGGCCACACAATTCCTTGAATGACACCACTGCATTCTGCCAAATAGAAAGAAGGCCACTGGTCACTAACCATGACCATTATAGGATAGTATAGCTGATATATACACTGGAATCATGTACTATAAAAGTTATGTTATGACACAATTAGCTATTGATTATTTTATCCACTGGGAAAAAACTACTATTTCCAAAGTAAAAATAAGCACAATCATTTCTAATACCAATTTATTAAAGCACTAAAAATGCTAGTAAGTCAAATTCTTCTGAAAGACAAAAATCTCTTTTCAGGTCAAAGTTCACAGTAGTACCAATACAATTAAGAGCAAACAGACAAAATGGCTTCTGAATTCACGAAAGGGAATGGTTAAGAGGGAAAAAATGGATTTTAAAAAAAAGTATCAAATAATCAAATATACCAGGTACCCCAAAAGGAAAAAGATATTGGTGAGGTAGAAACCTGCTGGTCCCCTGCCTGTTTCCGATGCTGCAAGGACACTGCTGTTCACTAGTTTACTGCTGAGTGCCCCATGGGGTTTGGGTCTCCTTGGCCTTCCTCTACCAGCTGCTCCACTGATTTCAAGGCTTCTTTCCTGTCCCCTCCCACCTTCAAGTCACAAGAGGTATGCCATTAAAATATCTACTGAAGGAAACACTCAACATTATAAAATGCCACGAGCTGGCACACCTGATTACCAAGTGCCAAGCTATCCTAGGCATAATACTGCAGGTGACCTCCTTTAATCCTCTCAGCAAGTCATGCTATGTACAGATTAGGACAATGAGCCATAGTTTGCTGCCTAAAGTCACACAGCTAGTAAGTGGAGGGGTCAAGGTTTTACCTCAATGCAGATGCTGAGGCCAACACTTTCACGCATTATGCCATAATAACAGCTCAATTCTAATCACAGCATGAGTCAGTCACGTGACTCCAAGCACTCTCATGCCCTGTCTGGGCAAAGCAGGTGTCCAGAGGGGCAGATTTAGGCTCCCAAATACCCTGAGTTATGGAAATAAGCAAACTTTCTAGTTTTGAATTTAAACATTTCATTTTAATTAATATTATTTCAAACATGGTTGTCAAATCATGTATCATTTTGCTCAAAATCACTTTTGTTTTTTTTTTAAAAGATATTTTTATTTATTATTTTTATGTGTATGAGTGTATTGCCTGCACGTAAGTAAGTACACCCGTGTCATGCAATGCCACAGAGGTCAGAAGATGGCTTCGGATTCCCCTGGAACCGGAGTTAATGATGGTTTGTAGCCACCATGTGGATGCTGGGAATTGAACCTAGGTCCTCTGCAAGAGCAGTCAGTGCTCTTAACCGCTGAGCCAATCTCTCCAGGCCCTTCAAAATCACTTTGATAGTGACCAAGTACTGAATAAATTAATTACTTGACATCTGAAATGGGGTGATAACTTCCTTTTTCTCTTCATAGCATATTTCGCATCTTCACCTCACTGTGTTTCTCCTTCCCACCATGTACTCCTAACTGCAGCATGCAGCCATCCTCTGGTTCCCACATTCTCATAATCAGCCTGCCTATGCACAGCAGACACTCACTAAATACCACCACAGATGGCTCTGTGGAGCTCAGCACACACAGGCTCTGAAGGCATGATGCTGGAGAGCTGACAGATCCCTGAGGGAATTATGTATACTAGTAGCCACCAGCAAGGGATGATGTGGCTTGCTTAGAGCTATGGGTTAACCAAACCACATGCATCCTCAGCAATGGGGAAACCCTTCAAATTTTGGTTATTGTTTCACCTTGATGGGAAGAAAATAAATGTCCCTACTGCAGGCTACTGTTCTTATTCATGAAGTACCTACAGAGTTAGTAGATAGAAAATGTTGCAAGTGTTTTCTGAGTTAGAATTTACTGCTGATGTCATTTTCATGATAGTGGTTTATGAAGAAACAAACCAACCTTTCAGAGCAGCTACCCTACAGAGTACATCTCACACTGGGAAGGGCCCTCTGAGACACTAGCTGCCTAGTGCTGCATCACTCATAGATGCTAGTTTAAACCAGAATGTGTGGCCCATCCTTAAGCACATAGCTCCTAACTGACTGCCCTAAGACATATATTTCAGAGAAAAATTTCATCTTAAGACTGTCATAAACACAGATATCACATATATTTTATGTAGATAATTAGCTATTCTCTAAAATCAAAAGGACATGTAAACATATTGGCTCATTTAAGTGTTTCGCAGCAATAAAGCTCCATTAGAAAGCTCTGGAAATGTCCCTTTTACTTTAACCTATCTCTCTCTTCTTCTTTTTTTTTTTTTTTTTTTTTAAGACAGGGTCTCCCTGTAGCCCCAGCTAGCCCAGAACTCTCTATGGAGACCAGTGATAAGCATTCTGATAACCAGTTGCAATTTTCAAAGTCTTTAAAATTAAACATACTACTGCAAAAATACATATCCATAAGTCATAGACATGCACGGAGTATAGAGCACACACCTGCATGTTCTCTCTCAGGTCCGTGGCATCCCGTATGGGGGGCTGGGCATTCTTGAACACCTCGTCTACAGTTTTAATCCACAGTGTTCTCAGAGATGCATATTCTCTGGATTTTTTCCCTTTTCTCACAGAAAGGCCCCTTTTATGAGGCTTTCCTCCTCCTCTTCGGTTAGTAATAGCCACATGGACGAATAAAGAAGCATGTGTGAGGACCTCTCCAGTCAAGGACTGCAGGGGAACGTGGCGGTATCCAGTTTGTAAACATTCAAAGGGAATTGTGTACTGGCCAATGAATTCATCCCCAATGTAGTCATCATCCAGTACTACGAAGCGCACCATGGCCAGTTCAGGGAGGTTGATTTGAAATTCAAAGCTTTCATCAAAAATGGGAGCATCACCATTCTGATGCACAGTTTTTGTCCTTTGTTCTGCACAGTCTGCAGGAATTCCATGGATTTCCACATAGACATAAGGATCCACCACATCACCTTTGGCACCTGACCCTTTGGGCTTCGGAAAGTTCTGGCCACTGATAATTTTGATGTGAAGCAGCTGGGGTGAAACTCCAGGGACAGAGTCCTTCGTGTTTGCACTGAAGAAGGAGACTTCCTCCCTCATGATGGCTGGCCGAAGGACATAGCCACAGTTTCCGTTCTGCCTAAACCAGCCAATGTTCAGGTCCATCATCAGTCCTGGAGTCTGAAAGTTCATGGCTACGATTTGACACCCACATTTCCAAAAATCTTGAGGGTTCATGTTACTAGAGTCAATTCTCATTGGACTGGGAAAGACCCTGGCAAGAAAGCGCTTGTTGTAATTTACGAAGTCTCCAGGGTTTTCGTTGGCATATTTGCTAGCAAGCACTTCATTAAATGAACACACTTCCCAGTACTTCTGCACCTGAAATGACACCTGAAATTCTTTGAACTGGACTGACTTACAAATGCTGACCAGTTCAGACAGTTCTTTGCAAAGCTGAAATCGCTTCACAGGCACATGGTTGGGTTGCTCCACGTTCTCTTTCCCCATCCTCTGAGACATTTCTGCTCCTTCATCTTCATCAGTAACATCTCCTTCCACTCCAGAGCAATTTGAAGATAGCTTCTTTGCTTTGATTAGTATTTTCCCTTTCAGGATATCTGGGGATGGTAGATAAGATTCCTCCACATTGGGTGATGTTGTATACAGCTTGTCTTCTAAAATTTTCTTCATGTGTTGAACCATTACCTTCTGTTGTTTAATAGAACAGTGATTTTCTAAACATAGGATGAGAGGATACTCAGAAGCAAAGAATGCATATTTGTTGATAATATCAATGACACTGCGAAAGACTATCTGAGAGGTCATGGTGTGACCTGTGTAAATCACAGGTTCATTATCTGGCCCATCCCATACATCTAATTCAACACTCCGGCAACCCATTTTAAGAGCTCGGATATATCCTGTAATATCAGAGGGACCCCGGAACTGATCCTCTATTAAGTATGTATTATGAGATGAATTTATAAAGTAATGAGAGAGAGGTTGCTTCATGTCCTGACAGACCTTCTTATGTTCTGGATCAAATATATAACAGTCAGATGACATCAGGTAATTAGTAAACCCGTCTATGGAGAGCCAGCCCTTTTCCTGGCCCTCTCTGGATGGCTCATATTTGTGAATAATTTCAAGGCTTATTTCCTCATTTATATGTGCCACACCCTGTTCTGCCTCAAGAAACATCATAAGGTCCTTGGTATCAAGGAACTCCTTATTGCTTGAAAACTGAACTAAAAGGAAGTAAATCTCAGGTCTAGTACAAAGCTCATGGAAAACTTCAATAAATTCTTCCTTTGTGACTTCAGTACCAGCTTTGTCCTTTGATTTATGCAATTCTTTGAACTTAAGCTCAATTTTGCTTGTTTTTAAACCAGGATTGAGGTTTCTGATACATTGCACAGCATTACACAGAGTTATATGTCCAAGATCATCTACATCAATTTCACTAAACATTTGTGAAACCCAAGAAGTCCTCATGTTATCTTGGCTACTTTCTAACATATCCAGGGTATGTTTTCCATAAGAAATCAGGTATCGTAGTCCCGTCACCCAGATGTTTGCAACATCTGCAGTGTTGGCAACCAAATCAAGTGACTCATAGTTCTCTCCATATATGACTGAAAATGCACAATCTTCAGATATCTGGTCAGAAATTCCATTGCTGCGGAATATATCTGTGTTTTTCCCTGTTCTCACTTCCTTGATAGACTTGATATCTATCTTGGCTTTCTCAGAATCCTTCTTAGATGGCTCCCACCTCAGGCTTTGCATGTCAGCATCCAGCAAAAAATATCGATGGTAAATTCTGGAGTTGGAGCGAACCTTTTTGAGTTCTGACCCTTCGACCATGGAGTTGATGCAGTCACTTGCACTGCTAATCTTCTTCTCTGTCGGCATGCTGCTGAATGACACTGTTTTCTTCCGCTCTCTTTTCTGTTTTGTGCCATCCTGGGGAGAAGAAAAGTGTGTTAGGAAAATGCAAACATAGGTGTTTATGTTCAGACTAGTAAATTAAAATTTAATTTCCCTGGAGCTGGAGCAATAGCTCAGTGGTTAAGAGCACTGGCTGCTCTTGCAGAGGACCTGTGTTCAATTCCCAGCACCCATATGACAGCTCACAACCATCCAGAACTCCAGTTCCAGGGGATCTGATGCCCTCTTCTGACTTCCATTGGCACTGCATAACATGGATGCACTTACACACAAGCAGACAATACACTTAAACAAATTAAAAAAAAAATTCCTTGAAGAAATTTATGCTATGAGGATTTCCCATATATAATATTTTATTTATTATTTTTATTATTTATTTATTTTTTATTTTTTGGTCTTTTTGAGACAGGGTCTCCCTGTAGCCCCAGCTGTCAGTAATGTGAGAGGGCCCAGCCCATTGTGGGCAATGCCACCCTGGGGAGGTGGTCTTGGGTTGTATGTTTTTTAATATCTTATTATTTTTATGTGTATGAGTGTATTTTCTGCATGTATGTGAGTTCATCCATGTCATGCAATGCCGTGGAGATCAGAAGAGGGCTTTGGATTCTCCTGGAACTGGAGTTAAGGACAGTTCGTAGCCACCATGTGGGTGCTGGAAATTGAACCCAAGTCCTCTGCAAAAACAGTCAGTGCTCTTAACCACTAAGCCATCTCTCTAGCCCCCAGGATTTCCTATTCTTATGATGAATGATAGCTATTCATTTTTAAAGTTTAGAAGAGACCTTGGAGATTGCAGGTTAATACCAATAGGTAAGAAATCATTGCTGAATAACCACAATTCATGTTTTTCAAGGAATTTTAGTTACACAGAGTAAAAACTCATATGTAGAGCTGGCTATACAATTTTCAGGAAATGAAAAAGGACTCCTTTTCACAAATTACCAAGAATTTCAACTTATTAAGAGATAAGCATTAAGTCAGGCACAGGGCCTTTTTGAGTATGGGGCCTGTGCAACTGCACTAGCCATACACCCATGAAGTAGATTCTGTGTGTATACAGCTCTCCTTCACCAGTGTTTCCTAAGGGACTAGGACCATATGCCTCAAAATCATCTTGGTTACCTGGTTAAAATGCAGCTTTCTAGGCCCCTAAAACCAGATCTCTATGGATAGTGGCAGGGATCTGCACTCAAGCAACACCCCATATGATGGGCACATAGACTATGGCCTGAAAGACACATTCTGGCCACCTGGGTTCACTGGTATAGTTTGACTATATAAATGACAAGAAATGGCTACATATGAACCATAAAGTGTGTGTTATGGAACTCCTGGCTCCTCAGAGTGTCACATTAGAATAGTAAGGTCCTAAATACTTTAAGTAGACATAGTTTTACTGTTGTAGTTATACTGAGCATGAGAGGAATTACAGAGTACAGCTGGGACATGTCTAAGATTCTAGAACTGGAGTTATTAAAACCTACTACTGTGCCCCAGGATGCTGCTGCTTAGGAACTCCCAGTATGAATATGAATTGCAGCACAACCTAAGTGAAAAGCTTCAAGGGAGCACCTGCTTTTCAAGGAGTTTGCACTTTCAGCTGTCCTTCAAAATCCAACATATTCCCCCTGAAGAGGTGACATCCACATCTACATGTGTATTTAAGACTTTCCCTATAGAGATATCTTTATTTTTAAAAAGTTCAAATAACCACAAATCGTGATTTTAACTTAAACACAACATTGCCTTTCACGAAGTGTATAAGATCTGCAATAAATTTTCGTAACTTTTCATATTCATTAATAAAGAACAGGAGTAGGGTTGGGATTACATAACATTTATGGCAATAAAGAAACAAGCATGCCCCTACTAGACAACACAGGCTAGCAAATAAAAAGCGTAGTTCCAGGAATGGGTTACCTCTTTTGGCATTATTGGCAAGGGGGGGGTCCCATAGACGCCCCCAAACTTTACTGGCTACTGCCATTGCTCTTGGTTACCTTCAGAACTTGATGGTAAGATTCTATTGCTAAAGACACTACGTACTCTAGCACAGAACATAGAGAAATCTAATCAAACTGTTACTGACTTAGAAGCTTTATTCCTATTGGCTAGCCTTCACAGTGCTGGAAGGTGCTATATGTATGCTACCAGAGGAGAAAAGTAATCATCAATTTTACGTAGCTGTGAACTCTGTGAGCTACAATCATGATTGGCCTGGAAACACATGTCCACTGGCGCAATCATGGCACAAATGTTATGAGAACAATCAGAATTTCTGATTGGACTTAAGGCCTGCTCCAGAAGACAGAACTCATGCCTGGTACAGTTACTGGGGCCAGGAACCTGTGGCTAGACAGGCCATAGACCCTGGGGGAGAGCCTACTACTACTCATCTGCTAAATGAACATAGTTTTAAACTGTCCCCTAATAACTTATTATTATAGCTATAGATGTGTACATCTCTCAACCCTCATCAGAGAAGCTTCTTTTTGCAGTATATGGTAATCACCACAGACAGCCACAACTGAAGTGGCAGAGAAGAGAGTAGAGTGCTCAGCCCTAAATGGGACAGGTGTATCATTCCATTGTCTCCCAAACTCAGGATCATTGCAGAAGAGGGGGCAAAAAGACTGTGAGAGCCAGAGGCAGTGGATGACGACAAGAAAACGGTGTTTTCTAGACACGATATGGCAGCCGCACATACAAACTCACAGCAGTCTTGACAGCATGCACAAGACCTACTCAAGCTCAGGCAAGACAAAACTCTCAGCTGGAAAGGGGAGGACATGAAGTCCCAATCCTGGCTGAGGAGCTATTAGCAATTGGTAGCTGCTGGCAGAGGAAGAGTCAATTTCCTTTAAAGGTGCGGCCCCTGCTAGGTTCGTCACACTCCAGGGGATGGACATACACCCAAGAGTATTTGGGGAACACAAATTGGACTGGATGGGCTATAAAAAAAGAAAGAGCATACAAAGTTAGGGGAGTAGGGAGGAAGGGGTAGATCTGAGAGGAGATGGAAAGGGGGTTGATTGTGATAAAAATATACTGCATGAAATTCTCAAAGAATTAATAAATTTAAAAAATTTTTTTAAACAAGCATGCAAAAATATTATATGGAAGTAATTCTGCTTTTCCTTCTCTGCAAAGACTCTATTTTGAATAAAACCTCTATATTTTAAAAAGCCTTTATGTTATTCTCTCAATGGGTGAGACTTAAAACTGCTTTTACCTTTTGATTATCTATATTTCCAAAAGCAATCTGCAAAAGGCAATTAAACTTTAAGTCATATGGGTATCATTTCCCTCAAAGTTTCAAAATGAGCTATAGAAGCCTTTATGCTCTGTGATCCAAGATAAAACTAAAAGTCATCAGGTAGAGTATTTCTTTATAAAAGTACCTAAGAATGATAAAGAGCAAAGAGGTAAAAACTGTGGTAACTGCATCTGTAAGATGTATCATAGTTGTTCCAAATTACTAAAGCATAAATTGTATTCTATCTTTTCATGTGAATTGGTATGAAATTAAATTTGTAATCAGCCATCCATAAGGGCATGAAACAAATGTATAAATTTCCTATTTTTCAGAACTAAAGATATCTTTCCTTCTAAAAATACACATTTACCTTTAATAAAGGCAACATACTGACTTAGTAAAAGAATTTTATAATCTTTATAAATTGTACCTCAAAGTGCCACTAGTAAAAAGAAGTACAAAGATAAATGGAGATGTTTATTATCCAGGGATCCATTAAAAATATATAGTATTTTCTCAGCATTTTCCATCTTTTATTCTGCAGATTTTACACAATGATTAATAATCTACTGTTACTTTCTAATATTTCAAATTCATGGCTTTCTTTTTTATCAAGAGGGAAAGGGCTGGACAGCAAAGCTCCTTAGTAGCATGTATTCAACATACACACAAACTTACACCTGTATCTGCAGGACAGGCAGTAGCTTAAACACCATACTGTCTTTACAAGTACTGCCTTCCCTTTCACAAGCCAGGCCAGGCTCCAAATGACTCTGGTCATCAACTGCAGGTGCTCATTTATAATGGCCAACCAAGCGCGGGCTGATGTAATGACAGCAAGGATACCCTTTACCAGACTTTCTAGCAATTCTTCCTTCTCTTTCTGCTGTTAGCCAAAACCATCTTGTTCTCTCACAGCAAGACCTGAATGAAAACATTGTTTCTTCTTTCCTACTAGCAGGCAAAGCTATTAGAAAACACAGAGAGGAGTGTGCTCCCCTAGAGACTGTTATGCTTTGGATCTTAAATGTCCCCCCAAAGCTCATGGCTTGATCCTAGTACAGCAATGTTCAAAGGTGGAGCTTTTGGTAGGTAAGTGGATCATGAAGGCTCTGACCTCATGAATTCATTAGTTCATTTATGGACTTATGACTACATGGTATAATCCAGGTGGTAGAAACTAAGGTGGCACCTCGTTAAAGGAAGGTCACTGAGAGAATGCCCTTGAAGGGAGTCTCTTGTTCCCTGTTCCTCTCTTTTTGGCTTCCTGGCAGCCATGGGGTAGGTGGTTTTTCTCTATGTGCTCCCAACCATGATATTTCACCTTACAACAGGCTCAGAAACAATGAAGCCAAGTGACTATGGACGGAAGCCTCTTACACTATGTAGCCTAAAAAAATCTTTCCTCTTTTTAAGTTGTTTCCAACTTTAAGTTGTTTTCAGTTATTTGGTCATGGTAGCAGAAAGCTGACTTAGATATGAACAAGGACAAGAACAGGTGTGAACTTGATTCACATGATTAAATGAACCAAATGGCCTGGCTGGGAGCAACAGGTGGTACTCGGTCAAGGTAAGTACGCATTTGAGTACTCCATGGCCAAGGTGAAAGGAGGGGGAAGACAGACACGCCTGAGTGGAAGGGAAGGAGAACTGGGATTTGGTGTCAAGACACTGAGCCCCAAGGAGCCTTACTGCTGGATTCTACCTATCCTGCTGATTTCAGCTTGTGCTCATTCTTTGGCCCAGTAGCAATTAAGCC